AATCCCAATACTGGAAATGACATCAGAATTCCACCCAATTAAAAGTTCATGATCTTGTTCCCACACCCACAATCCATCATATGCTCCAATCTTCTTCCACACTGGCATCCACACCCAGCTTCTTCCAGTCAAGTGTACTGGTGCGGAGACAAAGGATGACCCTGGCTTCTAGTAAAGAATAAAAACAATACATTCTACAATCTCACTTGTGTCTATTCCCCCCTCCCATCAACTATACTAAAGAAACAGCATAATGAAATAAGAGAAAGTGTGGCAGGCCAAAATTCTAAAAGGAATATAAATGTAGGCCTGACATAAGATATTCTTAGCAGCTCCTCATCTGAAGAAGAGCAAGAGATGAAGGAAGTCCATAAAGCCTTGTTAGAATCACAACTTTCAGGCAGAGAAGAATCAGGGCCAAATAACATTACAGACAATGCAATAGGAATCGCCTATTCTTTGTCATTTTCTTAACACAAAAAGACATACGAAATTGAAGGCTATGAGATAAACATTTGAGGATGCATTAACAAAGACTTCGTAAGATTAGGGACTATGCCACAACACTAAATTTTTCAAGAGCTGGAAACAAAAACTTCCTTTATTAAGCTGGGCAGTGTAAACCCTACTGTGAATTTTCATACCTTGTAAAATTCTCATCAGAATTTTCTGGCTTGGTCTTTCAGATCATTGAATATTCATTTCTGAAATATTTTACTCTGAAGATCAGACATGATTGCTTTCCTGGCTTTTGACCAATTGCTTTTGTCTTGGACAGACTACTGATTATTAGTTTGGAGATAGAAACAGGAGACATAATATGTCAAAAATGGGAAATTTGTTCACGGAGCAGAACTAATGACAGAGAAAATGCAGTACTCTGTGAATATTACCCAGTCAGTGGTAGTTTACTTCATGCATCTTTTTAAAATGCATTTGCATACGTCAATATACTATACCATACTTTTTAAATATTTTTTCCATTTTGATTTAATATGACTATGGCATTATTGTATAACTACAAACATCTTTGACCAACTAAGAAATAATTCAAGGATTTCAATAACAAATGTATCTTGTCTTTTTAAGTACACTGAGAGCATATGCACTAAAGACAAATTCCTTGTGTGTCCAATTACACTTGGCCAATAAAGAATTCTATTCTATTCTATTCTATTCTATTCTATTCTATTCTANGCTTCCAGAGTGCTCCTGGGGGTTGGGGAGGGCAAAAATGAGCAAACAACAGCCTGTTTTTCGCTCATTTTTGCCCTCCCCAACCCCCAGGAGCACTCTGGAAGCCTCCATAAGGCTATGCATGGCCATTTTTGTAAAAGGGGTGGGGTTTCAGGAAGCCAAAAATGCTGTATTCAGTGTATAGGACCCACCCAGATTTTCAGCCTCTTTTTTGAGGGGAAAAAGGTGTGTCTTATACTCTGAAAAATACAGTAAGTGCAGGAGGCTAAATTCACTTTAGTATTAGATGCAAGAAATCAAGAACCAGAATATGGTTCAAAAATATTACAAGTTTTGATCATTTAAAAATGATTATTTAAATGATCATTTGATCATTTAATAAGATGTTGAGATTCTAGAAAGGGTACAGAAGAGTAACAAAGATGATTAGGGGACTGGAGGCTAAAACATGAAGAATGGTTGCTGGAATTGGGTATGTCTAATTTAATTAAAAGAAGGACCAGGGGAGATATGATAGCAGTGTTCCAATATCTCAGGGGTTGCCACAAAGAAGAGGGAGTCCAACTATTCTCCAAGGCACCTGAGGACTGGATAAAAATCAACAGATGGAAACTAATCAAGGAGAGAAGCAACCTAGAACTTTTGAATTTCCTGACACTAAGAATAATCAATCAGTGGAATTGCTTCCTCCAGAAGTTATGGGTGCTACAACATTGGAAGTTTTTAAGAAGTGGTTTTTCTGAAGTAGTATAGGTTTTCCTGCTTGAACAGGGTATTGGACTAGAAGACCTCCAAGGTTCCTTCCAATTCTATTATTTGATGCTACCTATACACAAGAAACTGTTCTAGTAATTGCCACCATATAATATCAATGTAATATTGTGCAGAAGTAGTCTGCCATTTTTAAACCTCAAAATGTTGGCATTCCCCTATGGTCTTTCTGGGCAAGCAATAATAAGGGGGAGATCTATTTATTGAGTTTGTTAGCTGCCCCATTACAGAGAATCCTGGGAAGTAATTAAAATTAAAACCACAGTATGGTAGGAAATATAAGTGATCCTCAAGTCACATCCATTTGTTCTGTGACTCTTCAAAAATAAGATAGTTCTGAATGAGAGAAACTTAACAACTGGTCCTCGGATGTTATGGCTGTCACAGTGCCCCTGTGGACATGTGATCACCATTTGAAATCCTGCTGGCTTCCCACAAGCAGAATCAATGGGAAAGCCAGCAGGAAATCAGAAGTTGCTCTCAGGGGGATCTCATACTTTGTAACACCCACTTGAAGTTCTTGCCTGCTGGCTGGATTGTTTGCATGTCAATTGAGAAGGGAAGTCATGTGACCACGACTTGGGTCGGCTTCCCCAATGTCTTTACTTGCGGGAAACCAGAGGAAGTGATCATGTGAGGTCCTCGCTTAATGATATGTGATCCTTGCATAATGATGGCAACAAGGACTGCTAGGATTGCCATCATCAAGCAGTGTTGTCACGTGACATATTGGGTTATGTCTGTATCACTTAATTAAGAAAGGGGGTGAAAAAAGATGGTAACCAGGATTGAAGCCCTGCCCCATTTTCACAGGTGTGGCGCATACAACTCAGGAAAAGAAAGGATGGGGGTTCCGTTGGACAAGTGGGGCTGCCTTTAACTCATTTTGAGTTAAAAATCCCCCTTCTTCCTTAGAGGGAAATAAAAACAACCAAGAATCCATGGGTCTATTTAACAAAGAATTTTGGGGATATAATTGGAAATGTGCCTTTCTTTTCCAGCGCGGCTGATATCTACATCCGTGAGTACTTCCACACATATGCCATCTCGTCGCACCCTGAGGCTATTCCATTAAGGGTGAAATCCATTTACCGTTCGGTCAAATCAACTGACCCCATTACCCTACGCTACTGCTGTCTCTCTCCGAGCGGAAATGAGTTTTGCCTCCCTACTAAAGAGCAGATCGATCGCCACCGGATTGTCCTCACCACGTGCATGGCCTCACAAGATCTTGCAGTGCCCTGTGGCTATTTCACCCACATCTTGATTGATGAAGCTGCCCAGATGTTGGAGTGCGAAGCTCTAGTTCCTCTCTCTCTGGCTAGCCAGACAACCATGATCATTCTGGCAGGGGACCATATGCAGAAGACTCCCAGGCTCTACTCACTGCACAAGGATGAGCAGTCCGCCGACTACACCCTGTTGAATCGCCTCTTCCAGCATTACAAGAAGGAGAAGCATGAAGTGGCCACTAAGAGCAGGATCATCTTCAATGAGAACTATCGGTCTACTGCAGGAATCATTGAGTTTGTCTCCAAGCACTTCTACGTGGGCAGAGAAGATACCATCCGCGCCAAAGGCAATGTCCCTCCTCACCCGGAATTCTACCCCCTCATGTTTTGTCACGTCTCCAGTAGTGCTGAGAAGGACAGATCCATGAGCTGGTATAACATCTCCGAGGTTGAACAGATATTTGAGAAAGTACAGGAAATGGATCAGAAATGGCCGGTTGAATGGGGGCAGAAGAACCTCAAGTCCATCTGCGTGGTCTCTTATGGCATTCAGGTGAGGTGTCCAGGGTGTGTGTTGTTCTTACATTGCCCATTACAGGTAGTCTTAAACTTGTGACCACAATTGAGCCTAACCTTTCTTCTAACTACTCTCTCTCCTGCTAATGTTCCCCCCAAACTGGTAGTTTGGGGAGATATTGCATCTGGCCCAGAGGTCACATGGAATCTTTAAATAGCCAAAGATAATCTTGTCCTTCAGGAATTTCTTGAGTTCCTTTTAATATAGGGTTTCAGCCTGAGCAGGGAGTTGGACTAGAAGACCTCCAAGGTCCCTTCCAACTGTGTTTTTCTAACTATTCTAACTTATGACTAAATTCTAACTTTTAAAAAGTTTAAAGACAGCCAGTTTGGCCTACTAGTGGTGGTGGTGGCCTAGAAACGACTTCCGACTCTTTTTAGCACAGTATAAGGTAACAATATTACAACCTCAACTTTTTACTTTTATACATTAGTACAGTGATGGTGAACCTTTTTTGGCTCACGTGCGGGGTGTGTGTGTCGTGCACGGGTGTGCCGCCCCCATAATGCAATGCATGACACCCCCCCAGTGCGCGTGGGCGCATGAGATGGGCTCTCCCCCCCCCCATTTTCCATGCTTTTTTCGCCCTCCCCAGGCTCCAGGGACTTTATAGGAGCCTGGGGAGGGTGAAAACAGTCACTTCCGGTTTGCTCGTAGGGTTCTTTTTAGACCTCCGGAGGCTTCAAGGAAGCCTCCAAAAGGTCCCTGAAGCCTCCGGAGGGCTTAAACCAACCCTCCGAGCAAACCGGAAGTCCATTCCTGAACTTCCTGTTTGCCCATAGGGCTGGTTTTTTGCACTCCGGAGGCTTCAGCGGGGAGGCTCTTTTCGCCCTCCCCAGGCTCCTATGAAGCCTCTGGAGCCTGGGGAGGGTGAAAATGGCTTTAAAAAAGGGTGAACTCAGCTGGACAGCAACGCCTCGCGTGCCCTGACAAATGGCTCCGCATGCCACCTGTGGCAAGCGTGCCATAGGTTCGCCATCCTGGCATTAGTATATAACTAGCCATTTCTATAACAACAAATCATAATCAGCAAAACCAAAGTCCGTTTCATTTTTTTCATTCTCCTCTTTGAAGAGGACAATCAATGTAACCATTACTGCTTTATGTTCCTTGCTGTTGAAATAATATGTACTTCTATTTGCACTTAATAATTTTACAAACTATCACTATTTATATTAACAAAAATCATGATATTCTTTCAGTTTCTGAAAGGGGAATTTTTTTCCATCCATTTTAAAAAATTAAGCTTTTCTTTAAAAACATTTTTTTAAATTAAAACATTCTAATACATCTTATAAAAACTTTCTCTTAGCATACATACTTTAAAGTTCACTTTCAGACCAATAAAATTCCAACTAACTCCAATTTATTCATTAAAGTTTGATCACTCCCTCCACGTTACTCTCATAGAATAATTATTTTTCCTCTTGTATACATCCTTTTAAAAGCTTTTTAATTTTTCTTTAGGCTAATACATCTTTTTCTTTAAATTTCTCTTAAAATAGATATGTTTAAATACACTTTCAATAATATTTTACAAACTTTAGGAATTGCTTAAGCGTTATATATAAAAACACATTTTCCAAATGGTTTTATATTAAAACTTTCTTTCAATTACAGATATCAAACCGATGGAAATCCATCCCAATTCCAATTGATTCATTAAGCTTAAGTCACTCCTTCCAGCCTGTTTTCATGGAATAAAATATTTTTATTCTCTGGAATGCTTGTTGAATAGTTATAAGTTTCTGTTCAAGGATTTCTTAACCTTGTTGATATCCATGAGGAAAAAGGCCCAAGCAAATTTTCTTGGTGCTCTTATTTCAGTTGTATTGGGAGACTTCTATTTCAACCGTCATAATGAAAATTGGTGTCAGGTTTATATTCCAAAGTTACAATTGACATGCTGGTAGCTTTGATTTTTCCAGGTGAAATTTATCCGAGACAAATTGAGAAGAAAAGGCTTTTCAGACGTGACGGTGGAGAGCTATGACAACCTTGCAGGTAAAGCTCCCTGTTCCAATTTTGCCTACCCTTTAGAACATAGTGCCCCAAACCCTGGGCTGCGGCCCACAACTGGGCTATGGCCTGTTCAGAACTGGGCTGCAGAAGCAGTAGGCAAGCACAACCTCGTGTGAAGCTCCATTTACGTGTGCGGTGGGCGGGCGAGTGTGCTCACACAGCTCCATTTGTGCAAGCAGCGGGCACACATGCCTGGTCGCACGAATGGGCCTACACCTGCTTACTTGCCACTCGCACAGAACCATCCAGTCCCCGCCAGGTGTTACGATGACCTGAAAAGAGGGTCGCTTAAACTCTCAAAAGTAAAGTTTCTGAAACTTTGCAAAAATCACAGCCCTGGTTCCCCCAATTGAGTTTCCTCGTCACAAGTTCGTAGAAAGTGATCACATGACTCTGGGACACTGCAACCGTCATAAATATGAGCTGGTTTTTTTTTTTTTTTTTTTTTTAAAAAAGACTTATATACCGCTTCATAGGGCTTTCAGCCCTCTCTAAGCGGTTTACAGAGTCAGCACATCGCCCCCCACAGTCTGGG